GATAACGCCATATACAAATTTTGTTCCCAGTTCAACATTGTTTTGAAATTGTGGTTCCACGTGCCAGACGAACGCATGTTGTAACATTTCGATAACTACCATCATCAATATTAATTGATTGTGTTCATTGTGGTGTCGGTTGGTCCCTAATTTGCATGTGTGATATCGAATGCGCTCAATAGACAATTACACAACCAAAATGATTGTCGAGATGATCGATAATTACCGCTTTTAGTTTCTGAAATATTGATTTTTTTTCATTCTAAGAAATCAGTTAGCATGTTTCGTGAATATGAGGAAAACCCTATGATGTTACATATAAGCCAATCATGTCAAGTGTTGAGTATGACTTATCTAGAACTCGAGGGAACTTGAACCGGGACTTATTATTCATTATTAAACAAAATTAGGAATCAGTATATTTTTTACATTTAATTTGTAAGAAACCACCGAAACTGAAAATTAGATTAAAAGGTAACCTGAACTTGGAATATACGAGACAAAATCTAGTAAAAACAAAGAAAAAACACAAGCAAAAACAAACAAACAAACAAACAAAAAAAATGAAATGATAGAAACTTAAGAGAAAATTGAAACAGGAGTAATTGGAGCTTGAACTTTGTCTAAACGGTAACTCAATTTTTAAAGGTATAGGAAAATTTAAATGGGAATTATTTCAAAATTGATCTATGATGCAAAAGAACTTCAACTTGAATTAAAAACGGAATGTAAAAACGGAATTAAGGGCATCTGACGTGGGACTACGACACTAAAAAATTGGAACTTAGCGTAAGGTTAATTTCGATTCAGCTGAATCGCCCTAGAAAATGATAGAAATATCATTTGGTACTAAACTGGACCTCAACTGGAACTAAAGTGAAACTGAACTGAACGGAACCCCGAGTGCATTGCTAAAGCAAAGGACACTTGGCCTGGGATTAAACTAAACCGCAACAGAAACTAAAGTGACTGGAACTGAACTAAATCTAGTTGAACTAAATCTGAACTGAAGCTCAGCGATTGGTTTATTGGTCGATTTTGGCTTTACGTCCTAGTAACAGCAAATTAAGGAAGTGTCTAGTTTGGGTGGTGGAGGAAAGAAAAAAAAACACCGACCTGATGACGGCCCCGCGTAGTCCCACGATCTACAGGTGGAGGACTGGCTAGTGATACAGACTGTCAGACGCCTTGACCACTCGGCCACTGCGGCCATCTGTGATTACTAGAGACGACGTCAACATGGATAAAGGGGATGGCACGTGCTAGGCATTGGTATTTTAAGTAATTAAAACGTTTGAAATGAAGGGAATGTCATCTAAGAAAATTGGGTAAAAAAGTTGGGCAGAGTGAGGCGGAATCGTCAGATTCTTTATCAAACAGTACTAAATTATTTTGCACTCGAAATTTCGGAACCGTGAGCTAGTTATGAGTAAAGCTTTGACTGTTAGATAGGAACCATGGACCGTAAGAATGAGAAACTTCAAATGGAACTAAACTTAAAACTGAATGCCGGAAATCTAACCGTTCAATCACAATAATTTCCGCTGGTTTATGCTACAATGTGGCCCAACGCGAGAAAATTAAAATTTTGTAATTATTGTACAATAAAGAAAGTCGAAAACATTTTCTGTCTGAAGAGAAAATTCTGTGTCATTAAATGTATGGTAATATAGTCATAAACTTAAATTAACATCATCTCATTGTTTGGAAGAGAAATACGTGTGATTTATTTTGAACTGCGCAGTAAACATCAGTTAATGAAAGTACTTGTGTGAATATACAAAATGCTCTGAAGCGAATTCCTAATGAGAGATTGATTAGAAACCTTCATTATCAATTTATCAGTAGATCGAACTGCGCAGGGCTCTCTAGGTAATGAAATTGTCCTACTGAACAGGACTGGTAGTGTATTTCGTGATGTAACAATAAGCTACTCTAGGTAGTTAATACGTTCTGTAAATCTAATCACACATCTCGATTGTCATTGTGTTGTTCTATATCAATATTACAATGTTTTTGGGCCGTGATTACGTCCTTTTTAAATAGTGCAACCCTCCTGTTCTCACACAGTTTGAGATTTCAGAAATTCGTTTCAAATAAACACCATGCAATTTCTCTTATTCAAGAGATCTCATTTTATTTCTTTATTTAATTGTCTGCTACAGGTTTACCGTATCGCGAACAACTTAGTTAATTTTGAAGCCTGAAAGCACCTGATGGCTTCCTCTCTGAACATCATGCGGGATGGTCGCATACTATAAAGAGTAACAGGAGTGAGATGTTTTGCCCAGGGGTAGAACAGCGACAATTTAAGACCGTCCCATCCTCGATACACCAGGGGTTACGATCACTTTCGCTTTCTGCACCCCTGGAACACGTCATGGAAAAAAAATTGGACACAAGTGGAGAAATTTGATTGGTTCCAGGAGACAAAACTGACAATCACAGACTGATACGCTCCTTCTATTCTAAAGACTAGAGTGGGGCGACATCAACGGACCATGACCTCAGATACAAGCAACTACGAGTAGGGTTCGAACCACGTACTCAAGATTGTCACTGAAAACAATTCGGTTCATTAATTATTTGTTCGTGTCCGAACCAACTCTGTCCGAACCATCATGTTGGTAGATATTTTTTCCACGTAACACATCGTTGAATGACAATTATGTGGGATTGCAATCAAAATTATGTTAACAGAAATTGTAAATGTCTAACAACAACCTTTAAAACTTTACAATATAACAGGACTTACCTTTGAGTCTACGCTGTCTTCTTTCATCCAGAAATCTGATGACATTCAAAACGGAACATGTATAAAACACTGTTCTGAATCTGCTAACCGGATCACCGTATCCGGTATACCACACCGCATGCGCAACATCTAAACATTAGTGAGAGGCAAACACGACCGAGCATCGCCCTGTAGGTCTCTCCTTATACGATACATCTGCAGAGTAATAACACAGGCGCTCGACCATGGTATGCAATAAAATTAGAGCCTAGACACGGAACAAGAGCAAGTAGAATTCTCGCCATCAATATAGATTGGATTGAAACATGCAGCGTGTTCACAGAATGAGACTACGAAAATTATACCTCGGAATAAAGAAATTATTGTGAGATTTGATTAACACGGGCTTTAAACTATAATGTAATAGTTTTAATCATTTACATGTATATATATAGAGAGAGTTCTGACCCTATATTGACAAGGCTTATTCTCTTGTACACCTGTAGCTCCATTTCTTTTGAAATGTCATCAATTTGATCAAATAATAGATATTATAACTTTTATTGATTAAAATGTTCGATAATTAATCAGGTATCGCACTGATCCGTGAAATCAATAAAAAATATAGAAAAAAATCATGTGGCGTTCTGACATTGTGATATTGTAAATTTCATTGTTGAAATTGTAGATATGTGCAGTACACTGTAGATATGTGAAGTGTATTGTGGATATGTGAAGTATACTGTGGATATGTGAAGTACATTATAGATATGTGAAGTATACTGTGGATATGTGAAGTACATTATAGATATGTGAAGTATACTGTGGATATGTGAAGTATACTGTGGATATGTGAAGTACATTGTAGATGTGTGAAGTACATTAAAGATATGTGAAGTATACTGTGGATATGTGAAGTACATTGTAGATATGTGAAGTGTATTGTGGATATGTGAAGTATACTGTGGATATGTGAAGTACATTGTAGATATGTGAAGTATACTGTGGATATGTGAAGTGTATTGTGAATATGTGAAGTATACTGTGGATATGTGAATTACATTGTAGATATGTGAAGTGTATTGTGGATATGTGAAGTATACTGTGGATATGTGAAGTACATTATAGATATGTGAAGTATACTGTGGATATGTGAAGTACATTATAGATATGTGAAGTGTATTGTGGATATGTGAAGTACATTGTAGATGTGTGAAGTACATTAAAGATATGTGAAGTATACTGTGGATATGTGAAGTACATTGTAGATATGTGAAGTGTATTGTGGATATGTGAAGTATACTGTGGATATGTGAAGTACATTGTAGATATGTGAAGTGTATTGTGGATATGTGAAGTATACTGTGGATATGTGAAGTACATTGTAGATATGTGAAGTACATTATAGACATGTGAAGTACATTGTGGATATGTGAAGTACATTGTAGACATGTGAAGTACATTATAGATATGTGAAGTACATTATAGATATGTGAAGTACATAATAGATATGTGAAGTACATAATAGATGTGTGAAGTACATAACAGTTATGTGAAGTACATTATAGATATGTGAAGTACATTATAGATATGTGAAGTACATTATAGATATGTGAAGTACATAATAGATATGTGAAGTACATAATAGATGTGTGAAGTACATAACAGTTATGTGAAGTACATTATAGATATGTGAAGTACATAATAGATATGTGAAGTACATAATAGATGTGTGAAGTACATAACAGTTATGTGAAGTACATTATAGATATGTGAAGTACATTATAGATGTGTGAAGTACATTATAGATATGTGAAGTACATTATAGATATGTGAAGTACATTATAGATATGTGAAGTACATTATAGATATGTGAAGTACATTATAGATATGTGAAGTACATGTGTAGATATAATATATTAAGTTTTCTAGTTAACATGTATTAGTACATTTTACAATAAATTGTATGATTGGGGTATGAAATCTTGACAGTAAACAGTAAAACGGCTTTCTTACCTGGCTGTTGCATATTAATAGGTATCCAATATTGGCTACATGTAACTGGAATAGATTTTTGTCAGCATGCTAACTGGCGAGGATTTTCGCTGTTTATAGTCCTACCTATACTTTGTCAGGTTTTTGCGCTAGAGAAACAATATAGAATTGATTTCAAGACACTAATTTTGTGTTCAGGTGTACATTATTTTAAAACGTCCATCAGAAGTCTGTTATACTGCATTAGAATGAAATCACCACCAATTATTACCTGTGTCTGTATTGGCTATTTGTCCGGGACTGACATAATCTATATCCTGGTAACGCGGGCATTGAGGTGGAAGAAGGGCAGTGCTGAAATTGATGACATAGAGGTTCTACAACGAGTGACAGTTGATTATCATCGTTATCTAACTCGACTTAAATATTTTTTAAATTTGAAAATTAACTAACGAGAGTTTGATTACGATGATAATCAACTGCCACGAGTTGAAGAACTTCTTTCCATAACCTTTTAACGTAAAAATATATATATTGTGTACAACATTGTTTCGCCCCCATTGATACTTTCGCGTAAGAATACATCGTAGGTTGTCGGATTGGCTCATTAATATGCCAAAATAGACAAAATCGCTATTTTTGAAGCAAAATACTTATTCATTCAGTAATCTTGTGTGGAAACATCCCGTAACATTAGCTCATCGAAACACGTTACAAAAATACAAATTGTTAATCTTTAAAAAAAATAATTTGGAACTAGATTTTATTACGGATAAGAGTAACGCTTCTTCGCGGGAAAATGTGAATACAGACACGATTAAGATGGCGTGTAATTTCGAGAACTTCTAATCACTTTCATCAGAACTGTGCATCACCATCGGTCGTTTTCGAGAGAAAGATTTATTATTGTGAATGTTGATGTTTTTTGTGCCTCCATACACTGGACCACCGATGACAGAATGAAATGGCTGCCTTGTCACATTCGCCGTTGACCTCACGTGGCTGGCTGCACATAGGCCTAAACCCGTTTCAGACGTCACTGGAGGAGCACCTTCTCTTTCAGGACTAGGCCTAAGCCTATTTTGCTGATTGGAAAGCACAGCTGATATGGCCCTCTGTTGGTCAGTATCCAGGTTACTGTAACTGTTTATACTCTGGACGTTTCTATGGCCAGATATCTGTAACAGGACAGTTTTTTTTACTTTATACGTGTTCACTAAAAATCGAGTGTGTTTATTATGAAATAAATTTTAAATTTTTCGACATGGATTTATAGTGTTTGAGATTATGATTTTCGTTATGGATGTAAGTGTGTTTCTATTTTCATTATTTGTAACAACCTACACTAGTCTACCTGCATATTTTGGGTAGGTGGTAATCCAGAGTCATTCTGAACTAAATATTTCCTAGCACTGTGGTTTGTCAGACTTTTTTGGCAGGCTGATCGGATCCACAGTTAGATTCAGACAGACCTAAAATAAAGAAGTTCCATGGATACTGAGATATTGTCGGAAATGGGGCGGGGTTCAGCGGTAGTCCTAGTTGAGACAGTGACGATAGGGTCAGGGGAAATGTCAAAACTGCATCTTGATTCCGAAACGACCTCGCCGGTCTCCAACCTAATATCTAAGGTTGGGAAACCAAAACTACTGCATTTACCAATTACTATCCCCTTTCCCCCTCCACACAGTTTTACCGCATCACCGATCTTGAACGCCGGCAAGAGTGACAGATCGTCACTGTCAGCCATGTTGATAATGGACGCAGACGATGTAAACAATCGCACGTGGCGAAAGTAGTTCGGGGTCACAGATCTTGGTTGGGTCAAATGTCAATGCCTCGTCCAATAGATTTGGCTGTCACCAATAATACACGTGTTTATTATGCATATGAATAAACAATGGGTATGGTGTTTAATGAAAAGTCTGGGCGCGAGACAACATATACAGGTTATGGTAGAAATGACATTATCGCATTTCTAACACGAGACAGACCCTCAGGGAGTACTTGGAAGAATGTGTTTCCTCCAATAAAAACAATAACATGACGCCACTTCCATATATCGATGACGTTACATTAACAATTCAGCGTCTATAAGTGAAGCCAGCAGGACATATAGCCACAATCTCGAACAGAGTTGTCGTTCCTTAATACCCACAATACACCTCTGAAAACTGATCAAGGAATACCAATGGTTGACCTCGCGATCAGAGTCAAAGTTTGACATAGGGCAAAACTATGATGGCATCCCAGAAAACACCAACGAAGGACACAGTTGACTCTATAGTATGCTATCGATCAGCGTAAATAACACGTTTGCGCTTTTTGAGAGGCTGTGTGCCAATATCGTTACCAAATTACCGTCAGTTATCAATGCTACCATAGTGTACGAATGTGTATCTTGTAAACACGACGAAAGGTAACTGCTTATTCAAAATTAATCTTCCGCGATGTAATCCAAAACGTTTATAACCATATGAACAAATGTAGTCATTTTCTTCATGAACAAACATACTTTCAAAATAAATGAAATACTTCAATATTTGACACAGATACGATTTTCAAGAATCTTGAAATAGCCTGAGCCGTTTACAGATGTGTTATTGAGATACCGTAATGTACTCTGGGAGCGACTGATGTTTTTTAGTTTTAATTATATGAAATTTGAGAATTCTCCTGAAAAGTACCGATAATAATCTTTTATTGCTAAATCCAAGATGGTCGACTTTCGGCCATTTCGTTTTTTTTAATCAGTCAAACAAAACCAAGGGAAACCAACATACTTAATTTGAGAAAGAACCATCCAGTGCTTCTCAAGAAAAGAGATACCAAACTTTTATCGTCAAAATCAAAGATGGCCGCCTGTCGGCCATTTCGTTTTTCTAATCAGCCCAAAAAATTAAAAGAGCACAAACCATGGACAAAAAGGTCCCTGCACATGAGATTTAAGAAAGCTTCATTAAGAACCTTTCAAGAAATAGCAAACAGTGTTTAAAAACTTTCATCACCATAATTAAAGATGACCGCCTGTCAGCCATTTTTATTTTCGGATCAGTTCCAAGATTAATGATAGGGCATAATTGAGGACAAAGTAGAACTTCCATATGAAATTCGAGAAAGATCAATTCAGTGCTTCTCAAGAAACTGCATAAAAATCTTTTATTGTCAAAATCCAAGATGGCCGCTTGCCAGCCATCTTATGTTTTATTCGCTCAGCCCCAAAACCAACATATTGATAATTACAAACGAAGGCAAACCAATAGCGATTTGATTAACCAACCATCTGATAGTGAGATAAAAGGACAAGTCTTACTTATAAATTATTGAGAATTTGAATAATATTTGAATTGAACAAAACCATCCATGCTATTGTAATGGTCTCATTTTGCAATAATATTGAATAATTAATGACGAAATAGCCATGCTTTTAGAAGTTGCGGACATAGAAGTATGTAAGTGATAATTTTTCAACAAAGGTGTTTTTCGTTAAACCTGCTAAATGATTAATTCTCGTCGGTAATTTCTCTAATGGAATGGGAAATTATGACACTAATGTATTAAAATCAGATGTGCTTATTGCTTGGAACCAAAAGTAATGTGTTTTTTATCGCCCCCTCGTGACGGATGTCGGGAAGGGAATGTAGCAATTTTCCCGTACGTATTCTGAGTAACACATACTTGTCCGTATTCAAAAGCTTCATTCATTGAACGATTTTGATGAAATTTAAGACACTTTTAAAGGTTTTTGGTATCTCATTAGACCTCGAATTTCATGATTCCAGGATTAAGATCCAGGTAACCATTACTATTTTTAGAAAATCCTTGTCAGTGCTTAAGCGGCTTCATTCTTTCGGGGACTTCCATGAAATTTCATTCCCTTATAAGGAACAACAATATCCCATATAAGTTTGAGTTGAGGTTATTGTCTTACTAGTTTTCTAAAAATCCTTGTCAGCGCTCTATCCACGTCTATTCTCGATTAAATTTCAAACGTTTTTATGACAGACTATAATATCTCGAAAAAATGAGTTTCAGAGCTGTAGTGTCAAGGTCAAGGTCAAGATCAAGGTCACTGTTACTGTTTTTTTTTTTATCAAAGTTTGCAATCAAACAAATCAAAAGGGAATTGTATATTGTATGTACGACGCCTTGGTCATAATTGTTGATGAAACTTATTTTCTATCTAATATTCCGTTATATGTTTTGTTTTGTTCTTTGTTTGTCTTTGCTTCCAGTTTGGTTTTTCTAGTTTTTGTTTGTTTTCGTTTTTTATAATTGTCTAGATGCAGTATTTTATTCCAGGCGGAAAAATCACCAAATGAAACCGTCTTTCTTAACAAGTTTGATACACCCACTTAACTGTAGTCAGCCCAGAATTTTGCTGTCAACGTTCTTATTGTCTGTCTGTGTCTGTTTGTCTGTGTCTGTCTGTTTGTCTGTCTCGCCGTCCCTCCGTCCGTCAGGCCCGTCCGTCCGTCTGCCTGTCTACCTGTCTATAATCTTTTTTGTTTGTGTGGTCTATAATCGTATATATATATATATCCAGGTAATGCACACCTTTATTTCATTGTGACATGTGATAAATAGTTAAAGAAAACATACAGCATTATTTATGGAACCATACCAGGTAAGAACAACCTGTCACGTGCCTTACGTCAATATTTCAACCGGACTATTACAGTTGATTCTTGTAGAAAAATAGAGATTATCCAACACACGGTATAGGGATCAACTTTGTTATAGAAAAACGATGTAACATAAGGTGAGGTTTCCCAGAAAAACTACTCGTCCTTCAAGATACCGCGCTACGATCTGAAACAAAATCTGATGACGAGCGTCTGTTGATCACATAATTGGGCCAATCGTCAAAATCACGTGATCTGTTTGAATAAAATCACGTGACTTGTTTCAATTGTTTACCACTGACATCCCTTCCGGAAGTAGTCTGATGCAATTTGTCTTTATAATGTACTTGTCTGATTAACTGTGTGTGGGTCTCACGAAGTGAAATTGTTCCCCACGCTGCAATGAGAGTCTCACGTGTTTTATAGTCGTTGAAAGAGAAGTGAGTACTTTTAAATCTTTTTATCCTTTCTCTTTTCTGTGTGAACCGCCTATCATGTGCAATAGTGAGGTTCAGCTTAAACGCAACGATTCCTAAATAAACGTCGTCCACCGGAAGTGATTTTACGTACGGAAAGGCGGTCGCAAACAACTGGGCTATGTCCATAGCCATGATAAACAAACCGCCTCGGAGATATGGCGGCCATTTTGGATAAGGATATTCACTGAGAGGAATTATTGAGCTGTTGTGACCTCTGTTCACTCGAGCATTCTTTATCAAATATCCGGCATACAACTTATTCAAAGTGTCAGCTGAAAGTGATCTTAGAAACGAAAGTACATTTTCCATATGTAGTAAATGATCATCATCGACGAAAATAATGATTTTTGCTTCAGAACAAAACTCCGTCACCCAGTTAAATGCCATTATCGTCTTGAGTGTGTTGTTCCAATAGTTATCAGTGAAATTCTCTTGTATGATGTCATTGTACAAAGAAGCTTCGTTTTCAACGTATCGTTGGAAATTCTTCACAGCAGCCAACAAGAAGGCGATTTTGACGTTAGGGTAAGTGTTAGCTCGGCCCCAGGTCTCGCGGATGGCATAACGTTGGATTGTATGTTTCACATAAGATTTGACGAGTATCACAATGGTTATGTTGTCCGTTGTCTTGTAATGACAGTCCGGGGGTCGGATTAAGTATGTGTATGGGTGAGGGTTGATAGGAGGGACAGGTATAGGTGAGCCTTTGAGCATGCGCGCTCGAACTAAATTGTTAAGGTCGATATGGAGTGGATGTATACTGGCCATATAATATGGAGATTCAGGTTCAGAGGTTAAATTCAATTGAAGAGTATCATTTTCCGAGGGTTTCATTAATGTGTCAGTACATGTTTGTTTCTTTGAGATGTTTCTAATGTCTATTTGCTTCATAATTTCATGCAGGATGTGCGGATTACATAAAGATGTTTCATACCGGAAGTTGGTAGGCAGGGCGTCTATCATATATTTGGCCGAAAATATCGAGATATCCCTACATATACAACGTGATATGTAAAATAGCCATGTCAAGCCTAAAGCTGTAGCTAATGCCGAACTCATACTTTCCAGTCAATGGATATCAGGAAAGGTTTTCCAACTGGACACAAAAGCACAGATATGTGACGTCAGATGCCTTTATTTGTTCTTCGTTTCAGAGTGTTTACACTTTTTTTGTAGCGCTTATAGGATTTCCTTTCAGTCGATGGCGTTCCACAGGGTTGCAGATGTCTTGTTGATTCTTGGTAAAAGTTCTTTTTTCTGAAATTAAAATGGAATTTTATGAAAAAAACATATTACTACATGAACTTATGGCAAACAAATGAAACCTAATTAATTTCATCGGTCAAGGTCATCCTCACACGTGAGATAGCACAACCAAATGCTGACGTAACACTATGGAAAAATAGAAACCTCTCGATTAAAGGTGGCGTTAAATGTAAACCACGAAGTGTTCCGAGAAAAATGCACTTAAAGTAATCATCATTACGATATAGAAATAAATGGGTATTCGAGAAAGCCCTCGTGTGACGTCAACATCTACATAACACATTCTCCTGGACAAATTATTTGTTTTGTTTTTGTTTGTTTGTTTGTTTTTTGTTTTGTTTTTGCTTTGTTTTTGAGATAGTTTTTTTTTACGTTTGTTCACATCACAAAGCATGAAATAAATAGACATTTGTCTTTTCTGACCCAATTCATACCCTCCTCCCATCTCGGTTGATTCCGTTCAAAAAAAGGATGAAACCGGAGTCGGCCGATGTTGGCCGAATTCCAGCAGTATTAAGATTATAAGTGAAAAGTGTCTGACTTCAAACACAATCTTTCACGATAATGGCCGTCGATTTTATTCAAAGATGTTCTCTTAATGTATGCTAATCGACAGAATGAGGTACACTGTTCAGGACTTTAAGACTTATCTCCCTTGAACCAATCAACCTTGTATCGTATATTTTCACAGTGAAAACGGAGACGAGTTATTAACGTATACGCTCACTTCTTTCTCTCTGGAAGTTGAATGATATCCATATTTTAACGGATTAGCTACTACAAATTTATACAAAAGAAACACAAGTAATTAGTACTTTTTGAGTTTCATAATAAGCTACGGTACAGCCAAATAATGAATTAAACTTTAAAAAACTGATGTTTAGTCCTTCTAGTACTGGTCAGTGATGTTAAAGGCTCTAAACTATGAAACCACGGAGGCGACTGCGGACGGTAATAAGTATAAGTTATTTATATAAATATAGAGATAGGCCTAGAGGAAAAAAGAATCCGTTGTTATTTCTGGATCCTCGGTTGAAGCATTTGTTTGTAATTAAAGGTAGTATCAATTGCAGTATCCATGGATGTCTCGATGGCAACTAATGACGGATTTGGACGATATCTTAAAAATCCTAGTTTTTTCTACTTGTTGAATAAGGTTTATCCTCTCGAAATGCAGTGATGTTGTGATGTATGGTATACTTTTAATTATATTGTATAATGGGATTTGACAGTACAACATAATTGATTATTTAACTCTTTTTTCAATTTTTAAGAACCGTAATCTACTTACAATGGTTGAAATTTTACAAAAACTGATAAACTTTGATTGTAAGTATCCTCAAACGAAAATCGAGGAGATACATAAGGAACTAGTTACAGCGACGTTAAAAGACATCGACCCGTATGTTAGTTACAAATTTTCGGAATATAGCGAACTTGTGCGACGAATCGGGACTCCATACAAGGAAAAGCATCATCGCCTGTTGGACTCAAGAAAAAAGTAATTTGAAAAACAAATTAACGGCTATAATCATCATTGTACAGTAGGCCTAGTAGACATCAGATACAAATCATTAAAAAGGATTTTTAATATGAGTCATGATTTTAATTCTGTATACTTTGACTTTAATTTAAGTCATAATTTAGTTTTAAATACGAGCCATGACTTTGATCTTAAATACGAGTGTTGATTCTGACTCGAATCATGGTTTTGATAATAAACGTTTGAAATATAAAGGTTTTGAAGTTCTTATTTTTCATTCATTAATTGTTGTTGGGATGTTTACTACTACAGTACAGTCACAAAATAAACAAATTTTGGATCATCAACCTTATCGTTGTAATGTTCATCTTATAAAAGATATACTTATTGCCTTCAGCAATTAATACATATGTTTATTTTTTTCTTGTTTCACGCAAACAACAAAACAAAAATCCATAACCGATATTTTGTCTTTATTAACAAAGTAGTTCCGTGTTATTATAGGTCAGGTGCTTGAAGCCTCAATTGTATAAAAGTCTCAAGAACGATCGTGGTAAATGCCAGAGAAGACGATCACGGTGAATGGCCTAGTCTTCAGGCAGAAGACGCTACAGAGAAGACGATCACGGTGAATGGCCTAGTCTTCAGGCAGAAGACGCTGCAGAGAAGACGATCACGGTAAATGGCTAGTCTTAAGGCAGAAGACGCTACAGGGAAGACGATCATGGTAAATGGCCTTGTCTTGAGACAGAAGACACTACAGAGAAGACGATCACGGTGAATGGCCTTGTCTTCAGGCAGAAGACGCTACAGAGAAGACGATCATAATGAATGGCCTTGTCTTAAGGCAGAAGACGCTGCAGAGAAGACGATCATAATGAATGGCCTAGTCTTCAGGCAGAAGACGCTACAGAGAAGACGATCACGGTGAATGGCCTAGTCTTCAGACAGAAGACATTACAGAGAAGACGATCACGGTGAATGGCCTTGTCTTAAGGCAGAAGACACTACAGAGAAGACGATCACGGTGAATGGCCTAGTCTTCAGACAGAAGACACTGTGAATGGCCTAGTCTTCAGGCAGAAGACGCTACAGACGACCATGGTGAATGGCCTAGTCTTCAGGCAGAAGACGCTACAGAGAAGACGATCATGATGAATGGCCTTGTCTTCAGGCAGAAGACACTACAGAGAATACGATCATGATGAATGGCCTTGTCTTAAGGCAGAAGACGCTACAGAGAAGACGATCACGGTAAATGGCCTAGTCTTCAGGCAGAAGACACGACAGAGAAGACGATCACGGTAAATGGCCTTGTCTTAAGACAGAAGACACTACAGAGAAGACGATCACGGTAAATGGCCTTGTCTTAGACAGAAGACACTACAGAGAAGACGATCACGGTGAATGGCCTTGTCTTCAGGCAGAAGACGCTACAGGGAAGACGACCATGGTGAATGGCCTAGTCTTCAGGCAGAAGACGCTACAGAGAAGACGATCATGATGAATGGCCTTGTCTTCAGGCAGAAGACACTACAGAGAAGACGATCACGGTAAATGGCCTTGTCTTAAGGCAGAAGACACTACAGAGAAGATGATCACGGTGAATGGCCTAGTCTTCAGGCAGAAGACACTACAGGGAAGACGATCACGGTAAATGGCCTAGTTTAAAGGCAGAAGACACTACAGAGAAGACGATCACGGTGAATGGCCTAGTCTAAAGGCAGAAGACACTACAGAGAAGACGATCATGGTGAATGGCCTAGTCTTCAGGCAGAAGACACTACAGAGAATACGATCATGATGAATGGCCTAGTCTTCAGGCAGAAGACACTACAGGGAAGACGATCACGGTAAATGGCCTAGTCTTCAGGCAGAAGACACTACAGGAAAGACGATCACGGTGAATGGCCTAGTCTTCAGACAGAAGACACTACAGAGAAGACGATCACGGTGAATGGCCTAGTCTTAAGGCAGAAGACACTACAGAAAGTACGATCATGGTGAATGGCCTAGTCTAAAGGCAGAAGACACTACAGAGAAGACGATCACGGTAAATGGCCTAGTCTAAAGGCAGAAGACACTACAGAGAGTACGATCATGGTGAATGGCCTAGTCTAAAGGCAGAAGACACTACAGAGAATACGATCATGATGAATGGCCTAGTCTTAAGGCAGAAGACACTACAGAGAAGACGATCACGGTGAATGGCCTAGTCTTCAGGCAGAAGACACTACAGAGAATACGATCATGGTGAATGGCCTTGTATAAGGCAGAAGACACTACAGAGAAGACGATCACGGTGATTGGCCTAGTCTAAAGGCAGAAGACACTACAGAGAAGACGATCACGGTAAATGGCCAGTCTTACAGAAGACACTACAGAAGACGATCACGGTGAATGGCCTAGTCTAAAGGCAGAAGACACTACAGAGAATACGATCATGGTGAATGGCCTTATCTTCAGGCAGAAGACGCTTCAGAGAATACGATCATAGTGAATGGCCTAGTCTTCAAGCAGAAGACACTACAGAGAAGACGATCACGGTGAATGGCTAGTCTTAAGGCAGAAGACGCTACAGGGAAGACGATCACGGTAAATGGCCTTGTCTAAAGGCAGAAGACACTACAGAGAAGATGATCACGGTGAATGGCCTAGTCTTCAGGCAGAAGACACTACAGGGAAGACGATCACGGTGAATGGCCTAGTATTCAGGCAGAAGACACTACAGGAAAGACGATCACGGTGAATGGCCTAGTCTTCAGACAGAAGACACTACAGAGAAGACGATCACGGTGAATGGCCTAGTCTTAAGGCAGAAGACACTACAGGAAAGACGATCACGGTAAATGGCCTAGTCTTCAGGCAGAAGACACTACAGAGAAGACGATCACGGTGAATGGCCTAGTCTAAAGGCAGAAGACACTACAGAGAAGACGATCATGGTGAATGGCCTTATCTTCAGGCAGAAGACGCTTCAGAGAGTACGATCATGGTGAATGGCCTAGTCTTCAGGCAGAAGACACTACAGAGAAGACGATCACGGTGAATGGCTAGTCTTAAGGCAGAAGACGCTACAGGGAAGACGATCACGGTAAATGGCCTTGTCTAAAGGCAGAAGACACTACAGAGAAGATGATCA